GAGCTCGAGAGCTTCTTCAAGAATGAGGTTCGGCTCTACGATCAGGAGCAGAATGCAGACCCTTCCAGAGTCCTCAAGGCCCACTTCATCCTGAACTGGAAGAAGAATGAAGATGGATCCCCAAGAGCAAAGGCAAGACTCATCACTCAGGGATTCAAAGACCCTGACGCCCTCTCCGGTGCCTTGACAACAAATGCACCAACACTGACCAGGCTTTCAAGAGGGATGATCCTGTCGATATGCCAGATGAACCAATGGCATATGTTCACCAGTGACATCACAACAGCCTTCTTGCAAGGAAAGAATTTTTCCGAAGAGTCCAATCGGGTGATCTGGATCAAACTTCCAAAGGATGCCAAAGCACTACTTGGCCTCGACCCTCAAGACTCGACAGTGATGAAACTGATCAAGCCAATGTATGGTCAGTGCGATGCACCAAGAGCATGGTATGAAGAAGCCAGTGAGAGGATCCTACGTGCTGGAGAAGGGAACATCCACCGACATCCACTGGGCCCATGCCTCTTCATGGTCTACAAGCCTACGACCAGAGAAGCCATGCAGGACCCCAACATTGAGAGGGAATTGGCCTGCATCTTTGGAATCCATGTGGATGACTTGGTAGGATGCGGAGATCCCCGTGATGATTATTTCTTTGAGGTGAAGAAGAAGCTGCAGGAGATCTTCACCTTCCGTGAATGGCAGGACGGAGACAAGTTGGAGTACTGTGGAAGTCAAATCAATTGTGAACAGGAGAGTGTCATCTTCCTGAACCAGTATGACCACATCCACAAAGTGAAGCCCATTCCAATCCACAAGGAACGATTAGCAGACCCAAGTCTACCAGTGACAGAGAAGGAAAGGACACTGCTGCGAGGATTGGTTGGAGGGCTACAATGGCCAGCAACACAGAGCTCGCCGCATCTGCAAGTGTGCATCTCGCAGCTAGCAGGAGAAACAGCCAAGGCCACGATTGCCACCCTTCAGAAGGGCAATAAGCAGCTGCGCTATGCAAAAGAATATGCCGATGTTGGCCTCCAATATCGACAGCTGGGTGACAAGGAGAAGATGACCTTCATCGCCTACAGTGATGCCTCGCTCGCCACAAGATCTGATTTGAGCAGTCAAGGTGGCTACATGCTGGCTATGTGCCATCGTGATGTGGTTGAAGGCATTTGTGAGGGACACTACAGTGTCCTGGACTGGCGAAGCTGGAAGTTGCCTCGAGTATCCAGGAGCACTCTCTCTGCCGAGTCTCAAGCAGTGAAGCTGCAGATAGCCTGATGTACACCACGCTGTTCTGGAACCTCATCCACCGCCCGTTGATGCCCTTGGACAACGTCCAAACTGGAGCAATGGCCAACAGCCCAAAACTGATCGTCGATGCAAAGGCCCTCTATGACATCCTTGTAAAAGATGAAATTCAGGCGGCAACAGGGGCCGACAAGAGGACGACAATCGAAGCTTTGGTCTGTCGCGATAAGCTGGCCTGCTGCAACGGCAAGGTGCGATGGGCTTCATCCGAGCTGCAATATGCAGATGGCTTGACGAAAGAGTCGGCAGCTCCATTGCTTGGACAGAGATTGAGGAGTCACATGACGAAGCTCACCAGTGATGAAAGTTTCCAAGCATCCAAGAGGAAGAACATGGCCAACAGGAAGAAGGGCGAGAACATGTATGCATTGAAGAGGCCCGAACGAGCACTCTATGCGATGCTCGCCACCTACTTCATGAACAAGGTGGAGGGCACAATCGCTCATCATGTAGGCGTTGTGTCGCCAGGGCCCATTCATTTTGTAGGTGTGCGACTTCATCAGTCAGCTTCACCTTGCTCCTCCTCAGTTGAATGAGGCGCTCTTCCTCCAGACCAGTCCGGTCTGCTTGTGCACTGCTCTCTCTGGTACTTGTCCTGGTTGTGGCTCCTGAACTGGTAATCCATGGAGTCCAGGTGATAGCTGCGCATGATGCACAGCCATACCAAAATGCCAAGCAGCATTGTTGTGAAGATCATGATGAGGTAGTCGAAAACGTCATTCTCGACCATGGCATGTTATGTGCTCTCATTCGTTTGCTCCATTTCATGGATCTCACCATGGGTATACTCAGACCAAAGCAGAAGGCATCGCTGCATGGGAGGCTGCTGGCATGCTAGGAGAGCTTGCGTAGCCCAGAGGACCGCCAATTTGGTCTATGAGAGGCAACCGTGCAAGGCATGCTCACATCTACCTAGAGGACTGCACACCTCAAGCCCAATGGATGGAGTGCACTGCCACCTTCATCTGTTGGAGCACGGTCTCTTGCTCCTCCTTCAGCTTCATCTGGAGCTGCTACCAGCTCCACAACAGAGTGGTGAAGCTCATGATGACCTTCGAAGCCACCTGCACGACAGGCACTGAAACTCTTTTCCACCGATGTGAGTTGCGTGCCACACATACTGTGGATTTGAGTTCCTTGTTCGCGCTCGCCCGCCTCAAATTAGGGAGGGCCACGCGTCGTTGACGAGCAATGGCTTCGTAAAAGGTCGTTTGCTGCGACCCGGACGTTTTCGACCTCGACTAGGACTTTGAGAGCCTAGCACTCGGTAGCCATCTCCCTACCAACACAACGGTTTTCCAGGACAGACATCACACAACAACTGAGTGTTATTGCAGCACTCAACCACTCAGCTCACCACCGTCAATGAAATGGGGTGCAGATACCAGGAACAACACCTACGTCCGTTTGTTGTTTCTTTGTGGCAACGCCTAGAAGCTTGGAAGTTCTAGTGAAACTTCTAGGTTGTTCAAACTAGGTTATTCAAAATCAAATGGTGACAATTCCGAGTTAATGGCCACAACCAATGTTGTCCATCGCTGTACCAATGCACATAGACATCGTGATCCCATCGCAGAGTGCATAGGGCAGCATAAGGGAGAACGAAACGCAAAAGCGCAAATAAACGCGCTGTTTCCAACGCGTGCTCATGCAAAAGTCCATCCAGCAGCAGTGATCCAGGGTGGGCTCAGTGTGCACTTCAGCTATCTTCACAGTGTCACCAAGACTGGTGCTGAAACAACTCATCATCAGTGCAACAGCTGTATATGTGTTTGTTGCAGTCTTAGGTTTTTCAAAGACAGATGATTTGTGCACCTGAACTAAATAGTTATTTCGTGATCAAGCTGCTACGTGCAGCAATACATAAAAAATTAAAAATGACAACTATGGGATCTGAACCCACGCAGCTTGCGCTAGTGGAACTTGAGTCCACCCCCTTAGACCACTCGGGCAAACTGTCCTTGTTGTGATGGATCTTGTCTAATTATGAACAAATTATTGCACCACTCATGCCCTACTGCATAGCTGTTCCTGAATTCCAACTCGGCGAAGTCCAACTTTCGTGCATGGGAGAGACATGGAGAGACAATCACCCATCAGCATCACGTTCCTGTCCTCCCGCGCGGGCCCTCAGTCTGAGGCTTCACGAGCGGGCGGGTGGCAGGCGATACCCCAATAGTAAACGCCGCAGGTGCGATCGAATAAACATGCCACTGCGGCCCTCAAGTTCTTGAAAGCGCATCCAGAAAATTTTGGAAAAGGATGGATGGGAGAAGCTTTGTTTTTTGTCCAGAGTCATGCACTCTTTCCTGACTGAGCTTGGCCCTTTCCAAATTTGACTCTGAGAAGTGTGAGTGGTTGCAATGCAACTGAAGAAAAGAAAGTATATATATCCAGACAGAGCTGGCACTTTGTTTATTTCTTGTAACAGAAAAAAATATTGCTGAGCTGAACAGTAGTTTTTTGATGGTATTTTCAAAGAAACTCCAAAGTCCTGGATATTCCCAAAGACCTTGGCCATAGATATTTATCCAGCCTGGAAGTATGAGTCCTGCTGACAGGCTGCAAAATCAAACATATCAATACATTTACTCAATCCTGATCCATCAAACTATCACACAATAAGGCATGTTAGGGTCATCGCCCACCATACCAGTTGTCAAGTTGAACACGGACTAGGTGTCAAACACTGTCATGGTAGTTGTTTCATGTTTGGGTATTGATTTTCACTCCAGTGCAACTCATGCCATTTCCTTCCAAGCCTACCCCATCTATTATTTCTATCTTCAAGATTTCCTGGCCACACCTCAGCACCACACACTCCTTTCTCAATCATCAGTCACACATTGCCTCTCCTTGATTCGAGCTTCACTCACACTTTTCTGGTCATCAATTCATTTTGCCCTGTCAATTTGCCAACCTCCCCATTGATGCTCTCAGCTCATATTTCTTTGTGTGTGCAAGCTGAAGATTTAGTTTTAATGAGCTCTCCAAACCTCAGTGTTTGTGGCAAAAAAACTGGACTCAGAATTTGGCTTCAAACATCCACTTCACTCATCTTAAGCCAACTCACGGCCATGCAGGAAATAATGCATATGTGTGGGCTAAGGGTCACACAAAGGCACACTGAGGTAGTCGCACTTGTGGCAAGCTTAGGAACAACCACGGATTGAGTTCAGTCTGGCCCGCTTCATGGTGGCAACCTATTTAGGTCTGAAAGGAAAGTTCATGCCAGCCAAACATCACTCACTGCAATATATACATTCCAATCCCATTCAATTGAAGTCCGACAAGTTTTCAACATTCATTGGGCCCCTCAATCGAACTTCCAGCCCTTCCCACCACCATTTGCCCTTCCATCCCAGCAACAGTTCTCATAGCATCTCTGCTCAACCAACCATCCACACATTCACTTCTTCATACAGCCCACCCACACATTTATTCAATCAACCCACAGTTTTTTGCTCAAAAGAGTGCACAGTGTTATTGTCCACACATTTTTCAGAATGTGCT